ATAGCTTTACAACATTGTGCATGTACTATGAATAGAACAAACTTCACAGATGATTACACTTAAAGCTGGAGGTCTTTCTGTAAAATTTAAACAAAGTGTTCTATTAAATGCCATCTATAAAATGCTTGATGACTTACCTCCTAGGCTGATTTGTGATTTTGCCTGAGCTTTAGAAATTCTGGATGAAAAATTCTTTTGCTACAGGAAACTGGTTGGTAACTGAATAAATAGCACTATAATCTAAGTATCAAACACTTCCACATAGTAAGTATTATTTTGCAATGCATTCCTCTGCTTGCAGCATAAAATGGAAGTACTCTCTCAGTAATGCTTAATGAGCCCCAGGAATATGTGTAAAGCATACAGATTTTGGGTAAAACTCCAGGGGTTATCCTAAAATTCCCCTGTGGTTGAGGAGGACAGCTATCTTTGCGGCTCAGGGCGTTTATCTTTCCATCCCGATATGAAGTTAAATAAAGTAATAACATTAAGGAAACTTTCTGTTCCAAAAATGGTAGTGTTTCTGAATCAGAAATGAATCCTATCAATTAGCAAATGGTGTGAGAATTTTTTTTAATAAAAGAGGTTTGTATCAATATGCAACATTTAAAAAATCATACTCAATTTATGGCTCACCTGCCAATTTCTGCAGCTAATTCTACCAGTTTTCACACTGCATCCATTACAAATGGAATTCCCTTTGCATTAGGACACATCATTCATTGATACAGAAAAATATGGTGGTGTTTTTCTTATGTTTGCACAGTAAGAATACAGCTGTCTGAGAATCTCCATCTTGATAAAATAATAATAACAAAAACAGGTAGTGTAACGGGTATAGTATATAGTATAACTATGGTGTCTGTGTAATGTTTCTGTGCCAAGAAAAGTCCAGACATTTTGCTTTATTTTTGATGGGCAATCTGTAGTTTTAACCTCTAATAATATCCTGCTTTCATGAAAGTTTTTCACAGAAGTCTTTCTCCACGTACCTTTTGCAGCGATAACCATGCAGAGCGATAACAAGGACAAACACATTTTAAATGCCAAATCATCTGTTTACGTGTAATATTGATCTAAATGCCAAATTTAGCTGGTCATTAAGAGTGAAAGAGCCAGCAGAATCATTCAGCGTGCATGAATAGGTTTCAGATTTAGACTGCAAATATCTTGGAGAGGGTTTGCGTTTTAGTCTGTTTTGTCAGAAAGTTGCAGAGAACCACTGCTCTGGGAAATCGCACTCAGCTGATGTGATACTGAGAATCTAGAGGGAATTTGCATTCAGTAGCTGTCCACTATGTACATATTATATGTGTATAGCTGTCCACTATATATACTTCATATATTTTCAAGTAGTGGGCATTGCCCAAAAAAACAATTGCACCCTCAGTGATTGCAGTGACCTACTGGGGAGTTATTATTTTTTTTCACTGTTGCACTGTTATGATCCATTGGAATCTGAGACTCTCAGGATCTGGATTTCTGAATTTCATTACTTCCCTTATGATATTTGCGCTATCATTGTTTTGGTTAGTACAAATGTAACAAGCTCTGAATTCACTCATTATGTACACATATACCACATTGGTTAAGAAATTCGTGCAACTGCTTCCTGTCTCACACTGCCTGGGTGCCTGCATTGTGCTGTGCTGCTCTCCTGCCTCACAGGGAGCCTGTTTTCCAGGTACTTCACTGATTGCATACTCCTCTGTTGGACATTTATCCCTCATGGGAGCTCACTTCCAGAGTCATTTTAGTTTTCCTTTTATTTTTAAAGGACTTGATAAGAACTGGTCAGGTGATTGCTTATGCAGCTTCCAAGTTGAGCATTGGGGGAATAAAAATGGTCTGCGTGTAGGTTTTACATTTCAAAATTTCAATTTTAGACACAGGGTAAAACTAGAATCTCTAGGGCATCTTGCTCAAACCCCTGGTTTTCATTTTCAGTCAATGCTTTATACTGACCTCAAGTGTTTAGGTTTGAGTGCATCAAAAAATGACGTGAACATGGCATTTCTTTTAAGTTTCAATATTATGCAAACAGCTCAGAATAATTTTTTGTTGTAAAACTTGAAACCTACAGCTAGCGTGACTTTGAAACCGAACCCTAACCTAAACTACGGCCAGATATCCGTGCCAGTCAATTTTTATATATTATCAAATAAAATATCTTGACTTGCTGAAATTGTGGTATTTTTTCTTTAGAAATGAATTGATTCATATTGGAAATATGGAATCAGACCTATCAGCTATTAGAGATCCCTTCCATTTCTTTAGCAAGGGCTTTCATTTTTAAAACTGGCTGTCTATCCCATGTTTGAGACACTCATATTAACGATGATTGTTTATGGAACACAGGTTATTACAAAAGGATGTTGTGTTTATATTAAGAAAAATAAGGTTTATTTGTGTGTTTTGATCAAGGATGTTTGGTGCCTCAGTGTAGGGTAGGTTAATGTAAAATAAATCCTCTGTATTTAGGTTACATGTTTGGTTGTGGCTTCTCCTGAAACTAACAGGATCTGTTAGTTTTCCTCAAACATATGATTACTAATTTATATGTTTTCTTACTCAGTTTCTGACTGGAAAAATATTTACTAAATAAAAGCATCCTCAAACTTCAGGGCATTTTTTTGCCATTTAAATAGGAAAAGATTAACTGAATGTGGAACTACAGGCACTCTAGTGGGATAATATAGGAAGTTTCTATTGCTGGACATACTGGATGGACTGAGGACTGAAATCCTCTGAGCAATCAATCCACTGGTTTTTATGAATGTTTAGGGAAAAAAAGGAAATATATTGCTGGAAAAGAGAAATAAACCTTGTTGCAGGATATATGATGGCCAAATTCAAAAAACACATATGCATGGTAAAGTCTCATGTATCATTGCAACTGTCTAAGCAGGACACGTGAAAGCAAAACAAAACCAGGAAATAATACTTCTCTTATAACAAATTGATTTTGAGGGAAAACCTTAATAAGGAGAGAAAATGTAACCTGATTCTGACTGCCCTTGCACTGAGAAGAACCAGCCTGTTGCTAAAGAGCTTCATAATTAATTTTAGTGTTAATTCATCAGGTCTAGGATGAGATAAATCCTTCCCAGAAGCATTGTCCATAATGTGTACTGATTTATGAGAGAGAATCAGCTATATTTTAATGATAGGTGGACTAGCTTGTAAATACAGACTAGGACTCACAATATACGAGAAAAGCTCATTTGTGCTCAATATACTAGATAAATTGTTCCTGGCTTCTTAGGGTGTGACTATACTTGCTGTCACACTCCCAAATTTACTCAAGAACCCTGTGATTTGCTGAGTAGGTGCTAGTCATGTAAGGGAAAACCCAACGGGATGCATTTTATATACCTTTCCCCCCCCCCTAGAACATCATGTATTAATCTTTTTTGTCCTTTTTTTCCCTTCCCTTCACCAAAGGAAAGCCTCCTCAAGACCAAAGGCAAATTATAGGAGTGAGGAAAATGACTACAAATAATCTGAGCAATAAGAAATTCAACACTGTGATTTTTGTTTTAGTGAGAGGAAAACACCAGTTGCGGGCTGTCAGAAATTCTAACCTTAACTTCAGGGGCAGCAGCTTTAAAATCAATTTAATACTTCTTATTTCTTCAGTTAATCTGTTTCTTTCTCCAGTTAATAATAGGCTGTGGGATTAAATTTTAACTTTTGATATTTACTGGGAAATGTAGTATAGCAATATTATGAGTCAAAATGTACTTCAAATAAATTATCATTGCAAATTACAGTTCATGAAAGTTGTGACTATACCCGTAATTACACCATTGGCTATGCACAATTAGAAATCTTGCTTGCAGAATAAATTTGTTTTCATTCAGATCGTATTCTTGACATTTTTAGGAAAGAGT